TTTTTGTTGTTGTTTTTTGTTTTTTGAGACAGTCTTGCTCTGTTGCCCAGGCTGGAGTGCAGTGGTGTGATCTCGGCTCACTGCAACATTCACCTGCTAGTTTTAAGCGATACTTTGCCTTCCCAAGTAGCTGAGATTACAGGCCCACATCATTATGCACAGCTAATTTGTATATTTTTAGTAGAGTTGGGGATTTTACCATGTGAGCCAGGTCTGTCTCAAACTTCGGACCTCAAGTGATCTGCCCACTTTGGCCTCCCAAAGTGCTGGGATTACAGGGTTGAGCTACTGTGCCCAGCCCAGCCAAGGTTTTTTTTTTTTTTTTTTTTTGATATGGTGTCTTGCTTTGTTGCCAGGCTGGAGTGCAGTGGCATGATCTCAGCTCATTGCAGCTTCTACATCCTGGGTTCAAGCAATTCTTATGACTCAGCATCCTTAATAGCTGGGATTACAGGCATGTACCACCACACCCAGCTAATTACTTTTTTTGTATTTTTCTATATTTTAAAAAGATGGGTTTCACCATGTTGATCAGGCTGGTCTTGAACTTCCGACCTCAGGTGATCCACCCGCCTCGACCTCCCACAGTGCTAGAATTACAGGCATGAGCCACCAGGCCTGGCCACTTTTTTTGTATTTTTTAAGTAGAGATGAGGTTTCACCATGTCGGCCAGGTTGGCCTCGAACTCTTCACCTCATGACTTACCCACCTTGGCCTCCCAAACTGCTGGGATTACAATGGTGAGCCACTGCACCCAGTCCATGTTGTTTTAATTAAATGCCTCATGTGACTCTAAGGTGAGGCCAGAATCAAGTACGTGGGGTTCAAGATACATTCATTAGAATTAAGTTTCACCTCTGCACTAAAGAATCAGAGGGCTGGTTCTGTTTGGTTTGGTAGTGACAGGAAAGTGTGACCCATATTTTCATTACTGTAGAAGAAATTACTGGTGTCCATGGCAGAAGAGGGCACCTGAGGACCAAAAAGAAACTTTTGGGCAAGACGCAATGGCTCACGCCTGTAATCCCAGCACTATGGGAAGCCGAGGTGGGCGGATCACAAGGTCAAGAGATCAAGACCATCCTGGTCAACATGGTGAAACCTTGTCTCTACTACAAATACAAAAATTAGCTGGGCGTGGTGGCACATGCCTGTGGTCCCAGCTACTCGGAAGGCTGAGGCGGAAGAATCCCTTGAACCCAGGAGGCAGAGGTTGCAGTGAGCCGAGATTCACCACGGCACTCCAGCCTGGCGGTGGAGCAAAACTCCATCTCAAAAAAAAGAAAGCGAAGAGAACGATCCAAGATGGCCGATTGCTAACATCCCGGGATTGCAGCTCTCAGCGAAGGCGCAGAGAACTAGAGGACGCCACACTTTCAGACAAATTCTGGTGGCTCGCGGAGCAGAAGATCCCCCAGTGGAGGAAACACACGGGTGGCCAGCGCGACTCTCGTAGCCGGCGCAGCGGTTCCACCGGCACCTCAGCGTGGCAGCGCTCGGAGCAGAGTAAACAGGTTCGGAGGACCCACAAGGGCCCCAGAAGGACACCAGAGCCCGGCGCAGCGGCTGCGACGGCACCTTGGCGTGGCAGCGCTCGGCGCAGAGTAAACGGGACCGGTTCCCCTTCTGACCGAGGTTTGGAGCCCCAGGAAGGCAGAGTTGCCCATTACGGACACAAGAAGGAAGCCAGACAGGAGAATCCTGGGCAGAAAAGCACCATCAGTTTTAACGCCACTGCTCTGGCCCTGGGAACTAACAACCTGGACGTCCACTCAAGAGACCTAATCTGAAAGTTGGTAATTTCAAAGACGACAGGAGGATAAATTTACAATGACGGGAAGAAACCAGCGTAAAAAAGCTGAGAATACTCAAAGTCAGAATGCCTCTCCCTCTAAAGATGATCACAGTTCCACATCAACAATGGAACAAGGCTTGATGGAGAACGAGCGCCTCCTGATGACAGAATCACTCTTCAAGGAATGGATAATAACAAACTTCTGTGAGTTAAAAGACCATGTTGTAGCCCAACGTAAAGAAACTAGGAACTTTGAAAAAAGGTTTGATGAAATCCTATTGAGAATAGACAACTTAGAGCGGAGTATGAGTGAATTAATGGAACTGAAGACTACAATACAGGAACTCCTAGAAGTATGCACAGGTTTAAACACTCGAATTGTTCAAGCAGAAGAAGGGATATCAGAGGTCAAAGTCCAACTTAATGAAATAAAACGTGAAGAAAAGATTAGAGAAAAAAGGATAAAAAGGAATGAGCAAAGTCTCCAAGAAATGTGGGACTATGTGAAAAGACCAAATTTACGTTTGATAGGTGTACCTGAATGCGACGGAGAGAATGAATCCAAGCTGGAAAATACCCTTCAGGATATTATTCAGGAAAATTTTCCTAAACTAGCAAAGCAGGTCAACACTTAACCCCAGGTAATACAGAGAACACCACAAAGATATTCCTCAAGAAGAGCAACCCCAAGGCACATAATCGTTAGATTCACCAGGGTTGAAACGAAGGAGAAAATACTAAGGGCAGCCAGAGAGAAAGGTCAGGTTACCCACAAAGGCAAGCCTATCAGACTTACAGCAGATCTCTCAGCAGAAACTCTACAAGCCAGAAGAGAGTGGGGGCCAATATTCAACATCCTCAAAGAACAGAACCTTCAGCCCAGAATTTCATATCCAGCCAAACTAAGCTTCACAACTGAAGGAAAAATAAAATCTTTTATGAACAAGCAAGTACTCAGAGATTTTATTACCACCAGGCCTGCTTTACAAGAGCTTCTGAAAGAAGCATTAAACACAGAAAGAAACAACCAGTATTAGCCTTTCTAAAAATACACCAAAAAGTAAAGAGCACCAACATAAAGAAGAATTTACACCAACGAATGGATAAAACAGCCAGTCAACATCAAATGGCAGTAACCCTAAATTTAAATTGACTAAATTCCCAATCAAAAGACACAGCCAAAACCCAACAGCATGTTACATCCAGACCTGTTTCACATGCAAGGATACATAAAGACTCAAAGGGATGGAGAAAGATTTACCAACCAAATGGAGAGCAAAAATAAATAATAAATAAATAAAAAGCAGGAGTTGCAATTCTTGTATCGGATAAAATAGATTTTAAAGCAACAAAGATATAGTGGTAAAAGGATCAATGCAACAACAAGAGCTAACGATCCTAACACCCAGATACGAGACTTAGATGCAATGAGACAGAAAATTAATAAGGATATCAAGGACTCGACTCAGATCCGGAACAAGTAAACTTAATAAATATTTATAGAGCTCTCCACTTCAAATACACAAAATATACATTCTTGTCAATACCACATCACACCTACCTATAGCTTAAATGAAACATTGATTGGCCATCATTAATACCCAATTTTTTTCAAAATAAAGCAATATTTCCATTTACTCTCCCTCTTTCTCTTCGTCTTTCTTTTTCTCCTTTACTTATCTTTTTTTTTTTCTTTCCTTCTCTCAAAAAAAAAGAAATCAACTTGTAAACCTCTAGTCCAGGTCGGCAATGTCTCTCTCATTGCTTGATTTCCTTTCTTCCCTTCCCTCCCTCCCTCCCTCTCTCCCCGCTTGCTTGCTTGCTTCCTTCCTTCCTTCCTTCCTTCCTTCCTTCCTTCCTTCCTTCCTTCCTCCCTCCCTCCCTCCCTACCGTCCTTCTTCCCTCCCTTCCTGCCTTCCTCCTCCACCCCCCCCAAAAAAAAAAAAAAAAAAAGAAAGAGAAAGCTTTACTTTTATCTCCGTGGAGCAGCTCAGTGTTCCTGAATCTCTTCTGGTATAAAGAACAGAAATGGGTGGACTTTTTCTGTGAGTCTTGGTCCTGCCTGTGGGTGTGGTGGTAGCAGGTAAACATGTGGTGTTGACACCTTTAAAGGCATATTCTCCAGATGCACGTGTGATTTGTTCAGAGAATTGCATCTGAAAAGAATTTTCAGAGAAAGAGGAAAAAAATTACTTATTTTCAGTAAAACATGTCTCAGATCAAGAGCTGTGTTTTCCTCCTGGAATGCCATGCATGTGGTACTTGCAAACTTTGACTTCTAAAACTTCCAATGATAGTCAGGAATCTCTGAAAAATATTTCTTTTATATCTGTCTTCTCTACATCAAGGCTTCTTATATGCCATGCAGAATTCTCACCATTATTTTATAATCTGCAATATTAAAAATTTTCCAGGTGGCTGTTGGACATGGGAAGGTGTGGAAACTCATGGTTTCTGTTGGGAAAAGCTGGGGTTTTTATTAAAGATGGAGAACATCTAATGTTGAGGTTTCATCTGTGTTCTCCATCAGCTCTATGCAGAACACTATTAACAAAATGCTTATTTAAACAAGATAGTCTATTATACGGAAACTTCTGAAGCACTAAAAAATGTACATGTTTGTGTTTATGCCCTTAATTATATATGTTATTTATTTTTTTGTTGTTGTTTTTGTTTCTGAGATGGCATCTTACTCTTTGCTGCCCAGGCTGAAATGCAGTGGAGCAATCTCGGCTCACCACAACCTCCGCCTTTTGGGTTGAAGCAATTCTCCTGTCTCAGCCTCCCGAGTAGCTTGTATTAGAGGCATATGCCACCATGCCTAGCTAATTTTGTATTTTTAGTAGAGATGGGTTTTCTCTGTGTTGATCAGGCTGGTCTCCTGACCTCAGAAGATCTGCCCACCTCGGACTCCCAAAGTGCTGGGATTACAGGCATGAGCTACCTCACTTGGTCTATTACATATGTTATTATCTAGAAAATTATTATATACACACTGATGGCCTGCCTCTTATGCCACTCCGTTTTCTCAGGGTTAGAGAACACATTAGGAAATATGTCTGTGTACAAATTTATTGTATTGGATAATTTCTGTCACTTCTACAAGTCAGAGCCTGTTCTTGTTAGTCTCTCATTTGACCTTGATTCAAATTATAAATTCTGTTGGCTACCTGGCATATATGTTTGTGTGTGTGTGTTTTTCAGGGACTGTTGACATTTAGGGATGTGGCCATAGAATTTTCTCTGGAAGAGTGGCAATGCCTGGACACTGCACAGCGGAATTTATATAAAAATGTGATTTTAGAAAACTACAGAAACCTTGTCTTCCTGGGTAAGGATAATTTCAACACACAGTTTCTAATATACCCTAAAGGTTGTATTTCTCTTATTTCTAAAATGTATTTTGGTAATATATGTTTTGCATAAATGAGTTTCAGATCCCCATTTTTGAGAAACTGTTAAGGATTTATATAAATAGAAAAAATTTTCTTTAATATGTTTCTTTCTGGGTTTTTTTTTGTTTGTTTGATTGTTTTGAGTTGGAGTTTTGCTCTTGTTACCCAGGCTGGAGTGCATTGGCGCAATCTCAGCTCACCGCAACCTCCACCTCCTGGGTTCAGGCAATTCTTTTGCCTCAGCCTCCTGAGTTGCTGCGACTACAGGCACGCGCCACCATGCCCAGCTAATTTTTTTAATTTTTAATAGAGATGGGGTTTCACCACGTTGACCAGGATGGTCTCGATCTTTTGACCTCGTGATCCACCCGCCTCGGCCTCCCAAAGTGCTGGGATTACAGGCGTGAGCCACTGCACCTGGCCTAATATGTTTCATCTTGACGTGAATTTACCACATTCCTGACCGGATCTGTGTCATTCACTCTAGATTAGTGGTAATTTGAGAAATTTAGTGACATATTGTTTCCCATACCTTAAAATCTAATTGCCAACACCAAGTTTTGACTCAGTATTACTGGGTAATGAAATTAAGAACTTACAAATTTAGAATATTTTCCTAAATATTTAAAAATTTCTGTTATACATTAGACTATTCTATTACATCATGAACACATTACTAGGTTGGTAATTGAAGAATATGAGCAAGATTCATGTTATTTATTTTTTAATCAAACAGGTATTGCTGTCTCTAAGCCAGACCTGATCACCTGTCTGGAGCAAGAAAAGGAGCCTTTGATTATGAAGAGAGATGAGATGGCAGATGAACCCCCATGTGAGTGAGAGTAAAAGTGAATACAACACATGACACAGATGAGGGTCCAAAGGTCAAAGAGAAAGCCAGTTCTTAGAATAGCAATTTGGGAATCTGTGTTTTAAAGGAAATAGTTTCTGGAAAACCTGAGTTTTTTTATTTGTTCTCACATTTGAGCATTTTCTGTCGTATGGTTTTAAATTCTCTAAGGTTTCTATTTACTTTTTTGGTGATTTTCCTTCAAGTTTTCAGTGAGAACCAATGTCCTCTTCATGGCGTATAAGAGACTCTGCATTCTGAATGCTTATTCAATTTTTTTGGAGACAAGGAAATGTCTGCATAATTTTGAGCAACTTGATGTTAAATAATTTTTTTGCATCATGTCTGAAACGTATGAGAAGTGGTTTCTCTACTTTTTTTTTTTTTGAGACAGAGCATCACTCTGTTTCCCAGGCTAGATCTCAGTGGCACAATCTCGGCTCACTACAACTCTCCCTCCTGGGTTTAAGCATTTCTCCTGCCTCAGCCTCCCAAGTAGCTGGGATTACGGGTGTGCCACTACCCCAGGCTAATTTTGTATTTTTAGTAGAGATGGGGTTTCACCATGTTGGCAAGGCTGGTCGTGAACTCCTGCCCTCAAGTGATTTGTCTGCCTCAGCTTCCCAAAGTGCTGGGATTGCTGGTGTAAGCTATTGTGCCCAGCCTTTTTTTTCTTTTCTCCACATTTTATCTTGTTTGTATTTCTGTAATCTTCAAATGTAGTCTTGAAATTTTAAAGTAGGCCAAGCGTGGTGGCTCAAGCCCATAATCCCAGCCCTTTGGGAGGCCGAGGCAGGTGGATCACGAGGTCAACAGATCGAGACCATCTTGGTCAACATGGTGAAACCCCGTCTCTACTAAAAATACAAAAAATTAGCTGGGCATGGTGGCACGTGCCTGTAATCCCAGCTACTCAGGAGGCTGAGACAGGAGAATTGCCTGAACCCAGGAGGCGGAGGTTGTGGTGAGCTGAGATCGCGCCATTGCACTCCAGCCTGGGTAATAGGAGCGAAACTCCGTTTAAAAAAAAAAAAAAAAGAAATTTTAAAGTATGCTATTTTTCTTCTTTTTTTTCTCATGCTTGCTTTGACTATTTATTTGTTTGTTTGTTTATTTATTAAGAGCATAGCACACAGTAGATATTTATTTGGTTTTGCATAAGTAACCAGTTTTTGCCACTAAAAGTAATGGTGAAAACCGGGATTACTTTTTCATTAATGTAATAAGGATTGAGTAGATGAACAAATGAGCAAGTGAATGAATTACAGAAATGAATTTGTTTAGAAAACAAAGCAAAAGAAAGCTGAAACTTTTTTTTTTTTTTTTTTTTTTTTTGAGATGGATTCTGCTTTGTTGTCACTCACTGCAACCTCTGCCTTCTGGGTTCAAGCGATTCTTGTGCCTCAGCCTCCCCAGTAGCTGGAATTACAGGCACATGCCACCACACCCATGTAATTTTTTTGTATTACTACTAGAGACAGGGTTTCACCCTTTTAGCCAGAATGGTCTTGATCTCCTGACCTTTTGATCCACCTGCCTCTGCCTCCCAAAGTGCTGGGATTACAAGCATGAGCCACCATGCCCGGCCTGGCTTTGACTATTTAAAGTATGTCATAGTTTCATGTAAATTTTAGAATTATGTTTTTTCTTACTGTGAAAAACAAATGCCACTGGAATTTTGATAGGGAGTTTATTGAATCTATATGTTTCTTAGGATAACATGGCACTTTAATAATATTTATTCTTTCAATTTATAGACATAACATATCTTCAAATTTATTTATGTCTTGTCTAATTTCTTTATATATTTCTCATTGTAAAAATTTTGTACCTCATTGGTTAAATTTGTTCTCTGAAATGTATTATTTTAATGCTGTTGTAAATAAGATTTTTTTCCTCTACTTTATCAGAGAGTTTAAGTTTATGGAACCTTAACTTGTATGTTAATTTTATATTTATCTAATTTACTGAGTATATTTAGTAGTTGAAACAAGTTTTAATTGTACTGTCTTTGTTTCTATATGTGATTATGAGCTACAGCCAGCAACTTTTACCATACTTGTCTTTAATTTCAATTGCTCTTTTTCATTTTTTGACTAATCTGCTACATACTTTCAGTGTTACGTTAAAATAGCAGTATTGGCAATGGGCGAAATAATAGTTTTGCATTGGCATTGGTGTATAGAGGAAAACACCTCAAGTTTGTTGTTGTTGATTTTGTTTTTGGGTTGTTTTTTGTTTTTTTTGAGGTGAACTCTCACGCTGTCAAACCAGGCTGGAGGTTGCATCTCGGCTCACTGCAACCTCCACCTCCCGGGTTCAAGCGATTCTCCTGCCTCAGCCTCCTGTGTAGCTGAGATTACAGGCATATGCCACCACACCTGGGTTTTTTTGTTTTTGTTTTTGTTTTTTGTATTTTTAGTAGAAAGGGGTTTCACTGTGTTAGCCAGGATGGTCTTGATCTCCTGACCTTATGATCCACCCTCCTCAGCCTCCCAAAGTGCTAGGATTATAGGTGTGAGCCACTGCACCCAGCTTAAGTTTTTATAAACTGGTTTCAGAAGGTAAAGATCTTCTTTGGTTTGACCCTAAGGGTGATGGGATACCCTGTGGCTTTTTAGTAGAGAGAGGTTGTAGCTTTGCCATAAGGCTGCTTAATCTAGGGTCTACCTTTAGTTGGCTTTTTATAAGAAACTTGGATAGTTTAAGTTCCCATTTTATTTTTCAGACAGACTGAATTTTGTGGGGGGACTTTGTTCTGTAGGGCAGACACTAGACCAGGTTTCTGCAGTTCGGTCTGCATATCATGGGCCTTATATCATCATGTAGATGATTACGGCTTTCAGCAAGTACCAGAAAGGATCTTTCCAGGTCACTGGGTGGGTTTCTGTGTAGGCAGAACTGATGATAAACTGTGGCTCAGGGAGCTGGAACTGAGTCATTGAACTGCTTCAGAGACCACAGTAAAGGCCAAGGTCTGCAGACCTGCCCGAGTGGGTATAAATGGGTATCTTCCCACCGGCCTCTGAAAAAGCAGGATCTTTCCCAGACTTTGGCTGGGAGGATATTGGGATGGTTAAATACTAAGTTCAGGTTTCTCAGTGGGGCCAAGTTGGGTGGGCCATGTCCTAGTCTGTAGTTAGGAACGGGATTCTGTAGTTTGCACCAGGGCCTGAATGAGGTCGCACCTTCTGAAAAGACTTTTCAATCTTGGGCTGTATGAGAGTTCCACAAGTCTCTCTCTGGATCTCAAAGCTATCAAAGGCACTTATTTTGAGATGGAGTCTTGCTACATAATTCAGGCTGGTTTTGAAATCCTAACCTGAAGCAGTTCTCTAAACTCAATGTACCGTGTATCTTTCATTGCAGGTGTGAGCCATGATATCTGGCTGTCTCATAAAGGCATTTTTGTCAGGGATGGCTGACAAATTGTCTTGCTGTGCAGGAGATAACAAAATAGGGCACCTTTTATTCTCCCATCGTTCTCCCTATATATTTTTGTTCTCCATTTTTTATTTTAAATTTGTGTAGAATTTTACATTAAGAAATTTAGTTTTTGGTTTTAAGATGGAGTTTCGCTCTTGTTACCCAGGCTGGAGTGCAATGGCACGATCTCGGCTCACCGCAACCTCCGCCTCCTGGGTTCAAGCAATTCTCCTGCCTCAGCCTCTTGAGTAGCTGGGATTACAGGCACGCGCCACCATGCCCAGCTCATTTTTGTATTTTTAGTAGAGACTGGGTTTCACCATGTTGACCAGGATGGTCTCAATCTCTTGACCTCGTTATCCAGCCGCCTCAGCCTCCCAAAGTGCTGAGATTATAGGTGTGAGCCACCATGCCCGGCCTAGATTAAGAAATGTAGAACAATATGCTAGAATTTACATGTAATACCTGAAGTAAATTAGATACTTAGTAGGTCCTTCATATTTACTGAAACAGTTACTTACAAATTTGAGCTCCCTGTAGGAAAAATAATTCTATGATTACCACCCACTTTCTCTAGCCTAATAATACATACCTAAATAATGTAATTTATTCCCAAATATTTGTTTTATACATCAGACACCCTAACCATATTCTGCAATATATGTATTTATATATTTAACACTGATACATGTTTTGCATTATATATATATTTAGCAGTGTAAGGCTAATTTTTGCTTCTAAAGTTTGATTACAGCAGTTACATTTTATGTAAGAATAGCATGTATTTAAAACATAAAACTATCTCTAGTTTTTGTTTTTATTGAGATATAGTCTTGCTCTGTTGCCCACCTTGTAGTGCAGTGGTGCAGTCTCGGCTCACTGAAACTTCCGCCTCCCAGGTTCAAGTGATTCTCCTGCCTCAGCCTCCTGAGTAGCAGGGACTATGGGCCCTCACCACCACACCCGGCTAATTTTTGTATTTTTAGTAGAGACCAGGATTTACCATGTTTGCCAGGCTGATCTTGAACTCTTGACCTCAGGTGATCCACATGCCTCGACTTCCCAAAGTTCTGGGATTGCAGGTGTGAGCCACCACGCTTAGCCCAAAATTATCTTGTATTGTTTTTGAGACACAGTTTTGCTCCTGTTTTCTAGGCTAGAGTGAGTGCAATGGCGTGATCTTGACTTAATGCCACCTCTGCCTCCTGGGTTAAGTGATTCTCCTGCACCAGTCTCCCAAGTAGCTGGAATTACAGGTGCTCACCATCACATCTGGCTAATTTTTGTATTTTTAGTGGAGATGGGTTTCACCACATTGGCCAGGCTGGTCTCGAACTCTTGACCTCAGGTGATCCATCTGCCTCAGTCTCCCAAAGTGCTGGGATTAGAGGTGTAAGCTACCACGCCCAGCCTTCTAGTTTTTATAGATGATTATTTATTAAAAGTTTCTCAGAGGCCGGGCTCGGTGGCTCAAGCCTGTAATCCCAGCACTTTGGGAGGTGGAGACGAGTGGACCACAAGGTCAAGAGATGAGACCATCCTGGTCAACATGGTGAAATCTCATGTCTACTAAAAATACAAAAATTAGCTGGACATGGTGGGGCACATCTGTAGTCCCAGCTACTCAGGAGGCTGAGGCAGGAGAATTGCCTGAACCCAGGAGGCGGAGGCTGCCGTGAGCCGAGATCGTGCCATTGCACTCCAGCCTGGGTAACGAGAGTGAAACTCCGTCTCAAAATAAATAAATAAAATAAAAATAAATAAATAAATTATCAACTCTCAATTATTCCTCTATATGTAATTAGTTGTAAGTAAATTTTAAAAATTGTAAGTAAATAAAGTAAATAATTGTAAGAGGTAAAGTTGGCAATTTACTTCTAAAAGCATTATGTTATGTTGGGGAAGTAGAAAAAGCTATGTTGGATAAATATGACAGAATTTCTTTTTTTGTGTGTGACTCTTTGCATTGTACCCATCTGGGGCAATGCACTCACTTAATTACGACCTGCGGTGCCATCTTGCTTGTGTCATTTATATAATTTTATAAGTTATATTTGGAAAGTATGTTTATCTAAGTCTGTAAAGTAATGTGTTATTTTTATTTCTTTCAGTAATGTGTTCTCATTTTGCCCAAGAGTTTTGGCCAGAACAGAACATAAAAGTTTCTTCTCCAAACATGACAATGAGGAGATATGAAAAATGTGGAAATGAGAATTTTCAATTAAACGGCTGCAAAAGCATGGCTGAGTGTAAGGTCCACAAAGGAGGTTTTAATGGACTTGACCAATGTTTACCAACTACCCAGAGCAAGATGTTTCCGTGTGATAAATATGTGCAAGTCTTTCATAAATTTTCACATTCAGATAGACATAAGATCAAACATATGGAAAATAAATATTTCAAATGTAAAGAATGTGAAAAGTCATTTTGCATGCTTTCACACCTAACTCAACCTAAAAGAATTTATACTAGAGTGAATTTTGGCAAATGTGAAGAATGTGAAAAAGCTTTTAACCAATCTTCAAAGCTTACTACACGGAAGAGAATTTATACTTGTGAGAAACTCTACAAATGTCAAGAATGTGACAAAGCTTTTAACCAATTCTCAAGCCTTACTACATATAAAAAAAATTATACTCGAGAAAAATTATACAAATGTGAAGAATGTGGCAAAGCCTTTAACCAGTCCTCACACCTTACTACACATAAGATAATTCATACAGGAGAGAAACCCTACAAATGTGAAGAATGTGGCAAAGCCTTTAATCAGTTCTCAAATCTTACTACACATAAGAAAATTCATACTGGAGAGCAACCCTACATCTGTGAAGAATGTGGCAAAGCTTTTACCCAATCCTCAACTCTTACTACGCATAAGAGAATTCATACCGGAGAGAAACCCTACAAATGTGAAGAATGTGGAAAAGCTTTTAACCGATCCTCAAAACTTACTGAACATAAAAACATTCATACTGGAGAGCAACCCTACAAATGTGAGGAATGTGGCAAAGCTTTTAACCGATCCTCAAATCTTACTGAACATAAGAAAATTCATACTGAAGAGAAACCCTACAAATGTAAAGAATGTGGTAAAGCTTTTAAACACTCCTCAGCCCTTACTACACATAAAAGAATTCATACTGGTGAGAAACCCTACAAATGTGAAGAATGTGGAAAAGCTTTTAACCGATCCTCAAAACTTACTGAACATAAGAAACTGCATACTGGAAAGAAACCCTACAAATGTGAGGAATGTGGCAAAGCATTTATCCAGTCCTCAAAACTAACTGAACATAAGAAAATTCATACTGGAGAGATACCCTATAAATGTGAAGAATGTGGCAAAGCTTTTAAACACTCCTCCTCCCTTACTACACATAAGAGAATTCATACTGGAGAGAAACCCTACAAATGTGAAGAATGTGGCAAAGCTTTTAATCGATCCTCAAAACTTACTGAACATAAGATAATTCATACCGGAGAGAAACCCTATAAATGTGAGAGATGTGAGAAAGCTTTTAACCAATCTGCGAACCTTGCTAAACATAAAAAAATTCATATTGGAGAGAAAATCTACAAAACTGAAAGATGTGATAATGATTTTGACAACACCGTAAGCTCTTCTAAACATAAAGAAAGTCATACTGGTGAAACATACTAGAAATGTAAAGAATGTGTCAAAGACTTATTCACACTTGGTTGTACGTAAGATAATTTATACTGGAGAAAACTAAGTGCGAAGTATTTGGCAATACTGTTAATGCCCAAATCTTATTGCACAGGAAAGCATTTATACTTGAGAAAAATTGTACAAATTCAAAAGATATGGAATAGCCATTAATATCTGTTCACATCTTAATATCAGAATGTTGGCACTTAATAAAAGCATAATAAATGCAATTACTGTCAAAAAGGAAAATATAAGCCTTTAAAGCTGAGTGTATTCATTTTGAAGACAAGTATTACAAACATAAAGAAGGTTTTAGTACATTTCATGTATCACAGATCTTATCACCCACATTTTGTACTAGAGAAAAACCCTGAAGCAGTTGCTCAAACTTTATTCAACATCAGGCATTCTGTATTGGAGAAAAAATCTGCAAATGTAATAAATTTGGAAAAACCTACTTTTCAAAACCTATAGCTTAGAAAACACAAGAAAGTTTATACTAAAATACGTTTTTGCAGGCCAGACATGGTGGCTCACGCCTGTAGTCCCAGCACTTTGGGAGGCCGAGGCAGGTGGATCACCTCAGGTCAAGAGTTCGAGACTAGCCTGGTCAACATGGCGAAACCTCATCCCTACAAAAAATGCAAAAATTACCCAGGCATGGTGGCTGGTGCCTGTAATGTATTCCCAGCTACTCAGGAGGCTGAGGCAGGAGAATCGCTTGAACCTGGGAGCATTGAGCCAAGATTGTGCCATTGCACTCCCACCTGGGTGACAAGAGTGAAACTTTCTGAAAAAAAAAAAAAAATATATATATATATATATATATATTTGCAGATGCAGTAAATATAAAACTCTTAATACAAAGTTTATGTAAATATCAGATAACTTACAGTAAAAATATCTAAGTCACTGACTGAGACATTACAGTAAATCAGAGTGCTGAGTATAAAAAATAATCCAGAGCTAAAGTTGGTAGATAAATCATTTATATATAACTGTAAAAGATGCAAAAATTTTTTGAAAAGTTATAATTACATTCAAAGTACACTTAGCATGGTGGCTCACATCTGTAATCCCAGCACTTTGGGAGGCTGAGGCAGGCGGATCACCTGAGGTGAGGAGTTTGAGACCAGCCTGATCAAAATGGAGAAACCCCATCTACTAAAAATACAAAATTAGCTGTGTGTGGTGGCACACACTTGTAATCCAGCTACTCAGGAGGCTGAGGCAGGAGAATCGCTTCAGTCCAGGAGGTGGAGATTATGGTAAACCGAGATTATGGCATTGCACTCCAGACTGGGCAACAAGAGCAAAACTTCATCTAAAAAAAAGTTTATATATATACCCCTTAAAAAGAAAACCAGATTTGTAACATGAATAATGTCATAATTTCAACTGTCAAATTACTTCATGCTCTTCATTCCTATTGTATGAGACTTTAAAATTAGGAGGGCATTAGTTATGATCTTTTATACGGAAGGGTAAGGACATTAAAATGTAAGACAAATGATAAATATCTAAGTTGAGAGGCTCTTTTTAACATAGGTGGTGTTAAAGGTAGGTGTTCAGAATAATATTCTGCATTATAGGGAGAAAGAAGCATTTTATTTTTGTTTTTTTGAGATGAAGTCTCTCTCTGTCATCCAGACTGGAGTGCAGTGGTGCAATCTTGACTCACTGCAACCTCCATCCACTTCCCAGGGTTCAAAGGATTCTCCAGCCTCAGCCTCCTGAGTAGTTGGGATTACAGGTGTGTGCCACTACGCCCAGATAATTTTTGTATTTGTGGTAAAGCCGGGGTTTCACCACGTTGGTCAGCCTGATCTCAAACTCCTGACCTCGTGATCCACCAGCCTCGGCCTCCCAAAGTGCTGGGATTAAAGGCATGAGCCAATGTGCCTGGCCAAAAAAAGCATTTTAAATTTTAGTTGAAATTAGTAGTATATCATTTTACTAGTTGTACTGTTATGTAAATAAATATATATTCTTAAAATTTTAAGGCCGGGCGCGGTGGCTCACGCCTATAATCCCAGCACTTTGGGAGCTGAGGCGGGTGTATCACAAGGTCAAGAGATCGAGACCATTCTGTTCAACATGGTGAAAACCCATCTCTGCTAAAAATACAAAAATTAGCTGGGCATGGTGGTGCATGCCTGTAGTCCCAGCTACTTGGGAGGCTGAGGCAGGAGAATTGCTTGAACCCAGAAAGTGGAGGTTGCGGTGAGCTGAGATCGAGCCATTGCACTTTGGTCTGGGTAACAAGAGCGAAACTCCGTCTCAAAAAAAGAAAATTTTGGAGTCAGTAAGCATGTTTGCATGTGTAAAAATCTGTACCTATTTTCAGAAGAAAAGCAGTGTTGGAACAAAACCATTTTAGTAAGGTGAGTAATTTACTAGGAAAGTATAAACCTAAAAAATGCTGAAAGCAAAGCTATATGCTTTTTTTTTTTTTTTTGGAAATGGAGTTTTGCTTTTGTTGTCCAGGCTGGAGTGCAGTGGCATGATCTTGGCTCACTACAACCTCCGCCTCCCAGGTTCAAGTGATTCTCCTACCTCAGCCTCCCCAGTAGCTGGGATTACAGGCATGCACCACCATGCTTGGCTAATTTTGTATCTTAAGTAAAGACAGGGTTTTGCCATGTTGGTTTCGAACTCCTGCCTTCAAGTGACCCACCTGACTTGGCCTCTCAAAGTCCTGAGATTACAGGCTTGGGCCATCGAACCTGGCCTATACTCTTTCCTTTCTTTCTTCTTTTTTTTTTTTTTTTTTTTTAGTTTCGCTGTTGTTACCCAGACTGGAGTGCAGTGTCAGGATCTCCGCTGACCGCAACCTCCACCTCCTGGGTTCAAGCAATTCTCCTGCCTCAACCTCCCGAGTAGGTGAGACTACAGGCGCGCACCACCATACCCAGCTAATTTTTGTATTTTTAGTAGAGACAGGGTTTCACCTTTTTGACCAAAATGGTTTCGATCTCTTGACCTCGTGATCCACTCTCTTTGGCCTCCAAAAGTGCTGGAATTACAGGCGCGAGCCACCGCCCCCGGCCTACTCCTTTCTCTCTACTGGATTAATTACTGTAAAATATTATGGCTTATGGTTCAAAATCTCTTGATGCAAATTTTATTTTTACTTACATGATACTCATGCTAAACCTACATTTTTTGTTTCTTATAATTATTTTCTTTTATAGTTTATGAGGTTTTTTTTTTTTTGAGACAGAGTTTCCCTCTTGTTACCCAGGCTGAAGTGCAATGGCGTGATCTTGGCTCACTGCAACCTCCGCCTCCTGGGTTCAAGCAATTCTCCTGCCTCAGCCTCTTGAGTAGCTGGGACTACAGGCGTACGCCACATGCCCAGCTAATTTTTTGTATTTTTAGTAGAGGTGGGGTTTCACCATGTTGACCAGGATGGTCTCGATCTCATGACCTCGTAATCCACCCACCTCGGCCTCCCAAAGTGCTGGGGTTACAGGCTTGAGCCACCGCGCCCAGCCAGTTTCTCAGGTTTTCATTGTGTGACGTGGTCAAAGATTATATAATTATAAAATTTAGTGCATACAATAATTTTTAGATGTAATTCCACAATTAATGTAGTTATATTTTATCGAATTAGAACATTCCATTTTGTTCTTTTAATTGAAGAACTGTATATGTAAGCCTACTTTCCTTTAGTTGTTCTTTTCGCTTTTTATAATTGACAGAGGTAAATTTATTTGTTGATTTAGCCAGTTCAGGTAACTGCTAAGAAGTCTTCATAAGTCATGAGGATGTTTTAATATATAAATGTAGCAAAAAAAAGACAGTGCTTGCTGAGTAACAGATGGTTTATAATCCGTAAATATTCCTGTTAGAGTCAGTTTGTAACTTTAAGTCAGAGACATAAAATATCAACAATTAAGAACAAATACTGATTGTTTATGAGGAGAGGACCTTTTTTTAGGCAGCAAACCTGAATCTTGCTGAATATAAAGCAAAATTCTGCTTATTTTATTTTTAAATTATGTTGTTTTGTTTGTCTTATGTGTTTTAAAACTATGTATAATGTCACAGCCTTTCTTTTCTTTCTGTTTTATGGCTGCAGTTTTCTCACTGTTGTTTTTAATGTTGTGTCATTTTACATGCTACTTTGTAGGTTTTGGTTAGAAAGATGGTATTTTTAATGCACTTAAAACTTTGGTTTTAACTGGAGAATTTGCTTGTCAATATAACTTTTTTCTTTTTTTGATACTGAGTCTCACTCTGTTGTCAGGCTGGAGTGCAGTGGCTCACTGCTACCTCCACCTCCCAGGTTCGAGCGAGTCTCCTGCCTTCTGAGTAGCTGGGACTACAGGCTTGACCCAGCTAATTTAGTACTATGTTTAGTAAGACTGAAGAGAGAGGAAATCCTTGTGTTATTGTAGCTCATATATATATAAATAGATTTTTTTTTAAATATAAGATGGGGTTTCACCAGTGTTGGTCAGGCTGGTCTTGAGCTCCCGACCTCAGGTGATCCACCCGCCTTGGCCTCCAAAGTGCTCGGACCAGAGATGTGAGCCACCACGCCCCACCTATTGTAGCTCTTAGAGTAAAAGCTCACATTTCCCTGTCTGGGATGTTGTCAGCTGTGCGATTTTTGTTATATGTGGTGTTTATTGGCTTACAGTGCATTTACCCTATAGCTAATTTATTCACATCTTTATCACGAGGGAATGTGACTTTTGTCAAACTTTTATTCTGCATGTATTTAAATGTTAAACATGTGAAAGCACAGCTAATTTCACATAAATACAAAACATTCTCAGAGACTGCTATGAGCAATTCTATGCATGCAAAGTAAAAAAATTTAGAGAAAATAAATGAATTCATAAATACACACAATCTCCCAAAATTAAACCATCAAGAAACAAAAATCTAGAGCACAGCAAAAATGTATAATGAAATTGAATTACTAATAAAACATGAATAGCCCTGAATCAGATAAATTCACCTGCAAATTTTACCACATATAAACAAGATGAACTGGTGCAATTCTTTTGAATGTATATAAAAAATCAAAGTGGGATTTATATGAAACCAGTATCATCGTAATACGAAAATCTAATTAAGACACACACACGGGCTGGGTGAGGTGGCTCACGACTATAATCTCACCACGTTGGGAGGCTGAGGCAGGTGGATCACGAGGTCAAGAGATTGAGACCATCCTCATGAACAAAGTGAAACCCCGTGTCTACTAAAAATACAAAAAATTAGCTGGGCATGGTGGTGCGCATCTGTAGTCCCAGCTACTCAGGAGGCTGAGGCAGGAGAATTGCTTAAACCCAGAAGGTCGAGGTTGCAGTGAGCTGAAATTGTGCCATTGCACTCCAGTCTGGGTAACAGCGAAACTCTGTCACAAAAAAAAAAAGACACACTCACACAAAAACTATAGGTAAATATTCTTGATGAACATTGAAACGAAAATCCTCAATGAAATATTAGCAAGCTGAGTTCATAAGCAAATCAAGTTATTTTGCCACAGCTGTGAGCTTTATGAATGCAATGTTTTATCATATGCAGGTCAATAATTGTAATTCACCTTCTAAAGATGATTAAAAGCAAAAATTATCAAAATAGGTGCAGAAAAATCATTCAAGAAAATTGAATATTCATTTATAAAAATGTCCTCTAGACACTGAAGAAACATGCCTCAAAATAATGAGTCATCTGAAAAATCTTCATTTAACATCATACAGAACAGATAAAAGCTGGGTGCATTCTCCATAAATGTAATAATATTCACTCAACACTGACACTCCTATATAGTTCTGG